ACAATATCCACATTCCTATTTTAAATTGCTTTTAGTCCCTAGGGATTAAAACCCTATTTTGGTACCTGTAAATAGAGAACAAAGAAGCTCGCATAGATGTGATAAAAAATATACGGGAGCTTGACGGTGCCTACAATCATGTTTCTGTAACTATTCACCCAATTGCCTACCCGGAATTCTTACTTAAAGACTTTGGAAACACAATACGATAAAAAGACAGCGTTGTTCTGCTGTGGTCTTCATTATGGCGATACTTGATTTCCCAGACAGATGCTCCTGAGTGACAAGACCTGGACGCCTCTTCCAGACAGAATCTTCACAGTGAGACACAGTGCTGTCAGAAATACCTATATTATAAGCGCGTCTATTGAAATGACTAATTGTCCATGTTACGATTAGTTTCAATTTTATGTATTGCGGTTCCCTTGCAAAATTTACTCGCTGACTGTGGGGTTGGGGAACATTGGTTCAGTTTAAGTTGTAGTTCGAAATTAATAGTGACAGGTTTCTAACCCATAGTCCAGAAATTTACAATAAGCAATTGCAAATTACCCCTCCTTCACAGGCTTTAAAAATTTACCCGCTATTACTACTCATTCTATTGTGCAGTGTTCAATATTTGCATATTTTACCATATATGTAGTTTCCTCTAAGGTAAATGGGAATATATGATAAAATATATATTTTATCATATATTCCCATTTACCATATGGGAAACTACAAATAACTTTGTTCTTTATTCAATTAAATTTATTAACCAGAATCAGAATCAGGATGTATATCCCATAAGTAAATTGTTTCTGGTTGCTGTCATCACTGAGTAGTGAGCGGTGGAACAGGTGCAGGCGGACATTGTGAGTCGCTAGCTAATTACTTCTCTTTCACGCTGCAACTAACAAGAAAACGCTGTAACTACTCCCATCCCTAGCCCGTTGTTCCTTAATTGAAGTAGTACCTTAATATGATGCTTATTAAGCCTTGAGAGCCGTCTGGCAATTTATTATCTGCGCGCCGCGATTGAATCGTTGATGATGATGTTGTCATATGTCTGTTTTGTTTTCTATACTGTTTTTTAAATTTGCATAATATGACCTGTTATGTTGCGTTTCCACCTAGAGCTCAGAATCTTTAGCGCGAACCAATATCGAATTCGAATAGTTTGCGAGTACGAAATGTCATTGTCAAATTTTGTATGGAAATTTCAACGCCATAAAGGACGTGACGGGAACTAAAAATCAGTTAATATTTGACAATGACTTCGATATTGGTTCGTGCTAAGGGTACTGAACAGTTCCGAGTGAGCAAACATTTGTTTATGTTTGTACGCCCGGTAAATGAATTGTTCAAAACAATGTTGCGTTGTGTTCATTGATGACTGAGCAAGAGAACATTCGTTCCCTGAGCCCACTCAAAGATCGTTGTACGATCTCATTTGCTCTTTGATGTTTTCATTTACCGAGCGAGCAAATGTTTGCTCGGTGAGAACTCTTCTGAGCTTGAGTGCAAACGCAACTTTAAGTGTAACTGTAATAAAGTCGCAATGATACATGGAGTGGCACAAATATGCGTCAAGCTCTCTTTAAATTGATTGCTGAACTGAACCCAATATCTCCTGCCCCGCGAACTCTAGAATCTTACTTATCAACATAAATACAACGCCATATAATGGTGTGTTATGTTCTTGTTGCCTTTTGTAAGGTGGACGTGACTACCCCAGATAGGCGTTCCTGTAAGAGTGAAAAATCCTAGTAACTCTTTCTAATACCGCCCGGTCCGTAGCCAAGCATTTACTATCGGGCCACGAAAGTTGACTATTCACAATTTTTATATTTTTCAATTTACTCAATGCAACGAAACCAACATAAAAATTGACAGTTGCTTTAACCTGCCACAATAGTTATCATAATTACGGCAATAGCCGTCGAAACACGCTGAACGGTACCAGCAAGACAATATAAATCATGACACCGCTCAATACAGACAATGGTACGCCCATAAAGATAACGGGAGGCAAAGGTGGCGTGCATTAATCTCCTCGGTTAGCGTTTGTTCGTCTGAAAGCGTTCATTAAAGCACAAAGCGGTCTATCAGCTAGTTTCCGCGGTTCCTTCGAGTTATACTTTAACAAATTGGCGGAGTAATGCGGGGTGCGCTCGGACAATGCCGGCGCGGCAACTACGGAACATCTGACGTCACTTATGCCAGGGCTGCCGAAACGGCTGCATTTCCTTTTTGGACCAATTTAAGAAAGTCAGACTCCCGATATAGAATGTACCTTTTTATTAGCCTCCCCTCCCCTCTTCCCTAGCATGAAACGATACATAGGTCGTTTTTATCACAAAAATACGGAGTTTGAAAGTTGGACGCGATAAAAAACGTAATATTCTGTATTTTGTGTTGATCATGCTACGGAGACCGGCCGCGGTTGTACGACTATGATACAAATTATTATTCTAGTTTATTATATATTTTCTTGTAAAAATTAATTAAGTATTCAAGTTAATTAGCTGTGTGACCACAGAGCTTGTAAGATTAAAATAACGAGATTTTTACCCAGCTTTATTAAATGTTTTTTTATTAATTAATAGAGTGTGCGTGAATATAAAAGAAAAAAGAAGTAAAATCGCTATTATTTTTCTTTTTTAAAGTGACTCAGATCTGCAAAAAACCAAGATGAAGAAATGGAATATTGATAATATAGTTGGCGGAAAACTCAACAAAGGGAAAACTTCTTGAGCTCAACCATAGACAACTAAACTTGCGCAGTAAAAGTTTTTGAGTATATTTTTTTGTAAATAACGTTTCTGGAAACTTCGTTCTCAAACCAATATCTGCTATGTGCACCATTGAAGATTTCGACATTTCCATCATTATGATTAGTGTACTAACCGAATTTTGAATACAAAGACTGCTAAGCGAATCTTTAGCATTCCAACGGTGAGCAGAGGTTGCTTAAAAATATGCTATGTGCGTCAGAATATTGTCAAATTTTAGCTGCTATGTTAAATATTGTTTTAAACTTTCGTGGTCACTTACATTATAGTAATATACGTTATTGACGGGATTGTTACCATGTATGTTTATATGTACATGGTAACAATCCCGTAAATTACTATGCCATTAAAATTCTATGATTTAGTTTTATTTTTTGCACATAGCAGATATTGGTTTGACAACGACCAAAATGCTCGATGCCGAGTACGACATGACACATTTCTAGTTCCGTGTACTCTATATCGTCGTTGCACAATAAAATGTTAAATCAATTTGCTCTTTGGTTTATTAAATCAGGTTTAACATTCCATCGTGTTCGCAGTTCGGTTTGTGTACATTATAATGCTTCGTCATTCTGTAAAAATTAATGACCTAATGAGAACAAGTGCAATCCGCCCAGTGGTTTGGGCTGTGCGTTGATAGATCACTGTCAGTCAGTCACTTTTGAGTTTTCTATATATATCACACTAATATTATAAAGGCGAAAGTTTGTGAGTGTGTGAGTGTGTATGTTTGTTACTTCTTCACGTGTAAACGGCTGGAGCGATTTTAATAAAATTTGGTATGGAATTAGCTGATGCCCTGGATTAACACATAGCCTACGTTTTACTGCGTGAAAATATCCCAAATAAACCGCGGGTAACACCGCGGGGCACAGCTAGTATATATGTATATATAGACTAGCTGAGCCAGCAAACTTCGTATCGCCATAAAAATATGGGAGGAAAGAAATGAACAAAGAAGGATGAAAATTTAGGGTTTTATGTATTTTTGTATGATGTATAAAAAAAAAAACAAAAAAAATAGTCCAAAAACTAAATGAAAAAAATATGGTGGACCACCCTCAATATTTAGGGTAATAAAAAATAGATGTTGTCCGATTCTCAGACCTACTGAATATGCATATAAAATTTCACGAAAATCAGTCGAGCCGTTACGGAGGAGTTCATTTACGCACACCGTGACACGAGAATTTTATATATTAGATAACAATTACTATTGTTTTACTTTGCAGCATATATTTTGATTTTAACAGCTAAATTGTGTCTATTTTGTAGGTACCCTTTAAGGTGAAAATCGAAGGTCTTATCTAATAATACTGTTAGACAAAGTGACTGAAACAGTTATGCAAAAGTTAGCTAGTGCTGCTGATGTCCCTTAAATTAAGGCTAATATATCTCACATAATTCATTTTAGGACACTTTCAAAAGTTAGTCCAGTTAAGAAGGAGTAACAACCCTCGTACATGTGTGGCAATAACTAAATTTCATTTTCGGCTCCTATTTTGAACCTTACTTTTCATATCATAAGGTACTCTATTTGTACAAGACGACACGTACGAGTCACGATTTCACCATTAAATCCCTCCGGTGTTAGTAGAGGTATAACCTACTATTTTCAAAGTATCTACATGTTACGGGATAATTGGAAATGATGATGATTGTAATATAAAGTGAATTGTAGATAAAAATGAACTGTACCCCTAGCACGAACCATTATCGAATTCGAATATTTGCAAACCGAAATGTCAATGTCAAATTTTGAATGGAAACTTGAACAGCAGCGCCACAAAGTTCGTAACGGGAACTAAAAATCAGTACACATTTGACAATGACATTTCGGACTCGCAAACGATACGAATTCGATATTGGTTCGTGCCAGAGGTACTGATCTCTATGTTACTACAAGGTCCTTTCAGAAGACTTCGCAATTTACTCTTTCCTGGCAAAAGTTGAATGTGAATCTGAAGAAACCGTACATTTAATCGGTGCACGTGTTAGACCGGAAAGTTCTCCTACCAGTCCTTACTTTTTTTGACTTCTACCTATTTATGTAAAACTTGTGGCCGCCCGCGACTTCGTCCGCGTTGCCTTTAGCTTTTTGAGAATTCCACAGGAGCCTTTTTTTGTGACACAGGCAAAACCTCTATTTATAGACGACGGCGCCTTTGAGAGGCACACCGCTGAACGGACCTCACACCTGACTGCCGCAAGCCTTACGAGCCCCTGCAGTGGCTGCCCACTGAGGATCCCATAACTCTTACGGGCGCTTTAGAGCATAATATCCGCTAAAAAAACCCTGCGAATACCCTCTAAGCTGCTAAGTGCAAAACCGCAGGATCCCCGTTTAGAGATTCTGCCGCGTCTCCGCACCCAACAGCCTATGGCATGGATAAAAAGCATCGTATGTCTCAATCCAGGTCATAAACTATAAGCACCTTATTATAAACCATTGACTACAGTAAAGCCTGGTTTAAAACTGATGCTGTCACTTTTGTTTGTTAGAAAGAAGATTAAGTTTAGTCTGCGTTTTGGAATAAGGAAGAATGAGTACCAAATTTCAGCAATATTTGTTGAGTAGTTTTTGTATGATTGAGTAACAAACATACAAACTTTCACATTTTTATAGTGGAATTTCTTGCGTTTGCGCTGTTGCGTTTATGAAATTTATACTTACTTAGGTACACATTCATATTAGAGTCTACCTCTCAATAAAGATATTAATTGTTAGATTTGTTGATGTTGTAGTACTTAAATAAGTACATTTAAGGCAACGTACAGCCGCTGACAGATTTAGCAAAGGATACTATGAACTTATCATCATAATCAGTCCATTAATGTGCCTAATGCTGGGACACAGGCCCTCCCTATGTATGGAATAAGGATATTGGGCCCACCACGCGAGTTTCGCAAGTATAGGTGGTTGGTGACGACTGCAGTTGCAGCCTGGACCAACGGCTTAACAATTCTTCCGCAGCACGGTGGAGCTCTAGTTAATAAGTTTTTGGTCACCCTCGCAATGACCGGCCATTGCGAAACTTGTTTAACTGCCACGATCGCAAGCCGAACGCGGTAAGCCCCTGCGCCATCGAGCTCCTCCAAGACGACAAGGAAAACTGGTTTTCGTACATTGACAGGGGACAACTGGTATTCTTTGATTATTGTAAAAGCCATGGGCTGTTAAGTCCTCTGCATTTACCCCAGGATCTTATTATGGAATTATGGATTTTTGTTCGTCCCACCAAATCCATTGCTGTGGACCAACTTTCATTAAACTCTGTATTTCGCGTGGCTGAGTAACGAACAAACATCCATATAATTCAGATTTATGGTATTAGAACAAAAAAATGAAAAACAATGTACTGAAAATATAAATTTTATTGAAATTAAATGTCATTGATAAATGTCTCAGATAGTCTTCATAATTGTATGTAGGAATTGTTAATTGTCCTGAAAAATAAAAAATAATAATTAATAAATTAATATAAAAAGACACTGTTACAAGATTACTTTTAAGCCAAGCTAGAAAAGATCAGTCTAAATTCAATAGGTAGGGATAGGGATAGCGGATTTCCGCTATTGGTAAATAGCAAATCAAATTGGTATTTCCGTCTGGCGAAGTAACCTACACTTTAAATCTCCTGTAACAGTAAATAATACTACATTTTGGTAGTGTTTTGTTTCTGTCGGTGAGTAATCTTTCAGGGCTCCACAGGGTAGGGGATTGGGTCAGGCTAGGCAGCAGCACGAGTGATAGCTTTGGTATCGCAAGCGTCTATCATCTAGGCTATGGTGGCTGTTGACCATCAGGCGGTTCATCTCACAAGAAATATTATGTAACAAAGTAATCAGACTTTGTCCCGTGGTTGATGAATAAATTTTAACAGGGAAACGACGAGAGAGAATGGACAACTGGAATGGACTATATAAATGAGGGAAAGCTCTTGCTAGGATTCGAACCCAGATTTTAACCTTAATCAATGGAATAGTTTCAATAGGTAAGAAATCTATATATACGTGTAGGTCTCAGCTTAACTACAATGATAAGAGTTACCTACAACAATTATTTTCCAAGATAACACATTGTATTTATACTGGAAGCATGCTGTCTAATAGTTTAATAATTCTAAATAACCCCTCACCAGAAATGCAATTGAATCGTGCAAATACAGCGAGTTAATTTTAAAGTTAACGCACACACTACATTTCTGAAACTGATCATAATTGCCTCAACCTTAACTCAAGTTGATTAGTAGGATGTTAATAAAATGCCCTAGGCGTCTTCTCAGTGGCTGTTATTTTAACAGACATCAGGCTAGTGCGATAGGCTTGTCCTTATCTAGCAACGCATCGATTTCGAAACGATCGAAGAAGGACAAGTGTATCGTACAAGCCCGTTTAACAAGATTCTATAGATGTATTTCTTTAGAGCATTTTAAAGAATTATTTTGGGACAATATTAAGTGCACGATCAAATCATGAAAGCTGCTTGAAATGATCTGCGTACTAGACTAGATTTCAAATTTGTAATTTGCGATTCCTAACGGCGCTTCCTGTGGCGATGACGATCCGTTTCAGAGGTTACAGGTGTGCCTAAACCTTTATAAATTACCTTTTGCCGTGATGTAAAATATATCATGCATAGCTTAATAATCATGCTGCTGTTTTAGAAATGTTAGGCTGTAAATATGTTTTATATGCTTTCAGATCCGACAGGTGATAGAGATGAAGATGGAGATAGGTAAGAACAATATAGATAGATACTTCTTTATTTAGAAGACCAACGGCTGTTGGTTGAAGATAATTGTGTTATGTATAAACGAAAGTCGTATTTCGAAACAAAGATATAAAAAAAATCCTAAATATTATCAACTCAATGTTTATTCCTAGGTATTGATATAAGATTAAAATTTTGACATTTATTCAGTAACATGTGAATCAGTACGAATAGCAATATTGTTTGATTAACATTTAACGGGTAATGGAAGAAAATTAATTTCAGTGAAGGTTCGCTGTTGAAAATATTTTTTGTATAATTAAATGCTTAACTGTATCAACGGTTTATTCTACAATACATTTCCAATACAACCATTTATTATTAACGGTTCACAATTGTTTTTAGTTAATGTCAGTATACATTACATTTTCATTACGTTAAACTGGAATATTTTCCTTCGAATATCACAATCTTATTGCATTTCATCAAATAGGAGAATGGACGATCAGCTACGAATTGAGGAGTGGGAAACGACGCTCTAACTGATATGAAATCTGAAATTAATTTAATGAATTAATATAAACTTTTGCAGTTGACTATTTCAATTTAATTTGGTCTGTTGTATTGTTTTTAATTGTTAGACTTGTGGTTTCATTATAAAAGTGTAACGCCGACAAGATGATATAATAAGTTCCACAGTGAATCACTTAGTTTGATACACCAAGCAATGTAGTGACAAGGAATCATATCTAGTTTTACTTTACGCAGAAGCCATATGAACATACCAAAATTACCTTTCGCACCAGCTGATTGTCAAAGAGAAGCATGTTAATTTGCGACTTTTAATTACAAAATATACTACAATTGAAGACATTGATAACTAGATATAATTCTCGTACCGTGTGAAAAGTGTTCAGCTATTGGTGGAATGTTCCGCTAAATAAAATTGTGTTTTTGTTCCTTAAGAAGAATCTAAATGGGTGGTCTGCTTTGAACTGGGGAGTTTCATCTCCTACAATTGCTGACAGATATTGTATTCCAAACGCTGCAAAGTATAAAATATTAACGAATGTCAATAGTTTTTATCAGTGGCATAACCGAGTCAATGTTTGCAAATAGATCGATGATGACGTACTGGAATATAAACGAAAATTTAAAATTCCATAATCAATATATTTATTTCACCTTCAACACAGACATCAATAATTGTTTGTCTAGGTGTCGAGAGGGTATTATTTTTAAATTATTTGTATGTATATAGGCAAAAAAATATTTGCATGAAGCCTTTCAAAAACTGTGGTTTGTGAATTAACCGCTGAGTTTGTCATGGTGTTAGCTCTTAGGCCCACTTGTAGCAAATTTGCTAAATCTCTATTTAGCTTGCTTGTCAGAGTTAATTTGACATTATTGTATGACCCAAATCTGGTATAAGTTAAATCTAGAATTAGCAAAATTGCTGCAATTTTGCCTTAGTCATTTATCTTGTTGTTCAGAGTTACACCGAAGCCATGATACTCATACCAAAGACAAGCACCGCTTGTTTAAGAACGTAATTCTTGTTTAACATAACTTTAAAAATTTCTTAATTAATACACTTTGCCTTCTGTTCGTTTTGCAAACACGTGCATGCAATGGCAGACAGATGATCTTTATAATTAAGAGATTTCGACTCATTCCTTCGATCATTTTAATAGGTTGGAAAATTATTGATCTTATATTTTATTTTAAAACATGATTTTAACTACCATTATCTTAATCTTGAAAATGATGTAAAATTCATGCAATTGTCATTTTAGGTTGTCGTAGCAAAATCATAATAGTTAATTAATCATAATATCATTGTAAATCAACTAGGTCTCGTAATCAACGGTTTTAATCCCTTACAATATGAATTAACTCTTACAAATTCAAATAGGCATTTTTGACAAACAACTCATGCATGTACAATGCTAATAATATTATGATGCTATCAGCAGTAGATACCTAAGAGAGGTAGACTCCACTAAATAAAACGTTCTTTTTCTCTGTCAAGAGGAACAAGAAAGGATGGTTGGCATTAAATTCCATTTTTCGTTTAATTATCATACTGCGTAACCCCATTCCGAATGCTGTAAAAATACGTTTACATAAATACAAAAGGTAAAATTGTAATTTTGTTATAAAATCCAGAAAAAAGTTTAAATAGATATTTTTACTGAAAAATATTTTAAGGTACCGGAAATTAATTTAAACTTCTTTAATATTTAATTTGAAGGTGTCAAATGAAAGAGTCGACAAAAAATTCTGATATCGAAAATGAATTATTGAATTATGCAGATATTGTATTCTAAACGCTGCAAAGTTAAAAATATAAATGAATGTAAATATAGACTTTATCAGTGGCATAACCGAGTCAATGTTTGCAAATAGATCGATGATGACATACTGGAATATAAACGAAAATTAAAAAAAAATACAATTATCAATATTTGTATTTCAACTTCAACACAGACATCAACAATTGTTTGTTGAGGTGTCGAGAAGGTATTATTTTTAAATTATTTTTATGTATATAGGTATAAAAATATTTTCATGAAGCCTTTCAGAAAATTCCAAGTGTCAATATTTTTATTTCAACTTCAACGCAGACATCAATAATTGTTTGTCGAGGTGTCGAGAGGCTATTGTTTTTAAATTATTTGTATGTAATTAGGCATAAAAATATTTTCATGAAGCGTTTAAAAAACGAGTGGAGTTAACCGCCGATTTTGTCATAGTGTTACGTAGCTCTTAGGTCCACTTGTAGCAAATTTGCTTAATCTATTTTAAGCTTGATCTGGATTTAGCTCATACAAAAATGTCATACGACAATGACAATTTGGCATTATTGTATGGCCTAAATCTGGCATAAGTTAAATCTTGAATTAGCAAAATTGCTGCAAGTGGACCTTAGTCATTTATCTTGTTTTTCAGAGCTACATCGAAGCCATGATACTCGTACCAAAGACAAGCACCCTTTGTTTACGGACGTAACTCTTGTCAAGCATAACTTTAAGGATTACTTAATTAATATACTATGCGTTTTATTCATTTTGCAAACACGTGCGTGCAATGGCAGACAGATGATCTTTATAATTAACAGATTTCGATATGATTTTCTCAAGTGGAGAACTTCACTTTATATAAGCTTAGTCATAAATACTAAGTCACGGAATGTATCCCAAGTCTGCCGTTTAAGATGACATAAATCCCTAAATTACTACAAACAAGGAGGTAAGTACATGGAAAATTATATAACTAATAATAATAGTCATAATAATAATAATCCTGTATAACGCAACAAAGAATATTTATTTCACTCCTTCATTCATATATTGGAAAATTATTGATCTTATATTTTATTTAAAAATATTGATTTTATATTTTATTCAAAAATATGTTTTTTTTGCCACTATTATGAACTAATACTAGTTTTTAACTACCATTATCTTAGAAAGTTATCTAAAATCTATGCAATTGTAACAAAAATCTCTCATTTTAGGTTGTCGCATCAAAATAGTTAATTAATCATATCATTGTCAATCAACGACTTCTGCATAGCCTGCATACGGTTTTATTCCCTTACAATATAAATTCACCCTTACAAAGCCAAATAGGTATTTTTGACAAACAACTCATGCATGTACAATGCTAATAATATTATGATGCTATCAGCAGTAGATACCTAAGAGAGGTAGACTCCACTAAATAAAAC